TCCAAGTATTTATCCATTTATTTTTCAGGTGAGCGGACAGATGTTGGGTGTGTGGTCCTGTGTTTTGTTGGTGTATATTTAACATACTTCTAATCGCTATTWRAYTCTTTCTATCTTTCTAATTACTTCTCTCTCTGTTTTTCTCTCTATTTTCTCTTCACTTAAAAAAACATTTCATAATAATGGTGTGGAGAGGATGGCTATAAGGGGAGAAGGGAGGCCATCAATAAAAAAACATGGTTCTTCAACATCTTGAACAGGAAGTGTTCAGCTGGAAGGAGGACCCCTGGCCAGACCTCCAGCTAATTAAACATAACTTTTATTTACTATGTTATCTTGGTATTTAACTAGCGCTTTTAGTTTTTACTTCTGGATATTTACTTTTATTTACAGAAATGTTCTTATTTATCTTCAAGTAATCTTAGTTTTTTATGTTTATTTTCATCAGTAGAAACTGCAGCTGGATTTATTGAAACAAACTGTTGAAGCTTCAAACAGGTTTAGATTGATAACATTTGACATTATTCTGTTTAATCTGGTTTTACATGAACTCTGAAGTGTCAGGCCTCCACAGCGCCACCTAGTGCTCAATATCAAGTTACAACCAAAACAAGCCTGAGTCCGGTCCACATGAAGGAGTTCTGCTGAGATCAAGTTTTATTCCAAATAAAACCTGAGTTTAAATAATTCAGATTGTTCATTTCAGAGAAATGTTTAAAGTCCATTCTTTAAATGTATTTAGTTGTTTGAAATAACTTTAAATCTGTTTATTAACCAGCAGACAAACCTGGGTCAGAACCACTGATCCAGAACACTTCATCAGATGACAGGAACAGCTGGATCTGAGGAGGATCCAGAGTTCTGGGTCAGTTTTAGATCTCAAGTTCTTTCTGGCTCCTCCCACCTTGGTCTACTCTCAGGTCAAGTAGGGGTCTCTGCAGACGAGTGGGCGTGTCCCAACGAAAGGCGATTCTAAAGCCACACCTGATTTGACGGACTTTTTTAAAGGAACACACCTGACTGGACAAGCAAAAAATGGGCATCACCGTATGGCACCACCTGATTGGACAAGAACAAAAGGGGCGTTACTGTACAGCACCACCTGATTGGACAAGAACAAAAGGGGCGTTACTGTACGGTACCACTTTTTCTGGAGATCCCTACTTGGGTCACATTTCTCCTGGTTAACCTTAGTGTTGGGGTCAGGGTCAGGCTGTATAGAGGTCAAGCAGGGTCTGAGGATACCGTCATGTAGGCCTCGCAGCCCACAGTCTTTATGCTTTAGACACGCCCACTCTTGTGACACGCCCACTTTGATTCCGCAGATAACCTCTTCTCTCTGGTTCTTTCTGGCTCCTCCCACCTTGGTTCTCTCAGGTTCTTTCTGGCTCCTCCCACCATGGTGTACTCAAGTTCTTTCTGGCTCCTCCCACCTGATGATGCTCTTTGATTGGTCCACCATGTGAAGCAGGAAGCACTCTGAATGTGGCGTTTTGTTTTCCCTGGTCAACACATGAAAGCCTGCGTCTCGCCTCCATTCTGTGGATCAGGAGGCGTGTCCTCTGATGACTCCTCCCCTCTGTGACCGTCCTCCACCAGCCCCTGCAGGTATTTGATGTACCTGATGGCGGCCCGCAGCGTCTCCACCTTGCTGAGCCTCTTGTCGGCGCTGCGGCCCGGCAGGTGGTCCCTCAGCTTGGCGTAGCCCTGGTTGACGCACTTGACTCGCTGACGCTCGCGCTCGTTCCTCTTCTGGATGAACGCCGGCTCAAATGGACACTCGTACACGCCAAAGTGTCCGTGGTGGAAGGGCAGGTAGGGCAGGATCCCAGAGGGCCCGGGTCCCCTCAGAGGGGTCTTATAGAGTCCAAAAGCAGCCGGATCCACTGTGGAGGGGTAGAACAGGAACGGGACAGAGCTGGACAAAGAGTCCAAGTGCGGCGGGACGCCATTGTCCTCCAGTCCAGCAGAGGGAGACACGCCGAACCGATCAAAGAGGGACTGGGAGAAGCTCATCATGTGACCTGCAGCAGCCAATGAGTGAATAGGACACCTGGTTAGACACACCTGTGGAGACAGGACCAGAAGACAAGTTCAGCTTCAAGTCTGTTTTAAAACTTCCTGTCCCAGAGGACCCACCAGGGGACACCTGGACATGTCTCAGTCCATCACAGAGACACCTGGACAGTTCTTAATCCACCACAGGGACATCTGGACAGGTCTTAATCCACCACAGGGACACCTGGACAGGTCTTAATCCACCACAGGGACACCTGGACANGATCCCTTTAAACATGACTAGACTAAAAATAGTGATTTGCTAACATAGACGGGTCTGTGTTTTTCATCAGCTACTGATACTGAGATGTTTCACAAACATGGCGAACASGTTATAAGCATGAAAGTGGATAAGAGAGCTCACATAATCCTCCGCAATAACTGGAGCCAAGATTCTGTAAATTCTCTGCCAAACCAGGTTCCAGGACGAGGCACCTGGCTTTGGCTTGGACAGGTTGTGTGCAGATCAGAACCCATACTTCTCATTAGATTTATTCCAAGTTCACAACGCAATCATGTCATTACCCTTGGGTCAGTCTGTCACGTTGCTACTGTGGGTGGGAGACGCAGGGTTTGATTCCAGCAGACTTAGCTGACCCCATTTGGTCACCCATCAGAATAGAACTGCAGCAGGCCGTGCTCCACGCTGGCTSTCAGCCTAGCCAAACATATTAACTCCTTTAGACAAAAACAAAGCCGCTTCGCTTCGCCTTTCTTTCCCCACATGACTTCCAGTTCTCTTTTTTTATTACAAATTCAGAAGACATGTTTTTACAAACTTTTCAGTCTTGTAATTTTACGCTGCTGTTGCAAAATTGGAGCAAAAAAAAAAAAACACCCTCACAGTTCTGCTCCAGTGTTGATTATTTAGCTTTTTGTCTTTTTCTCCTCCCTAATGTGTTATTCATCCTGTTCCTGGTGTCTCCAGGCACACTTCAGAAAGAGATGTAAAATAAACAGTGGAGTTTTCAACCCGTCACTCGGCCTTGGCTGCGTATATCTGGAACAATAAACAGGCGAGGGTTTTCTGAGCTGGTTTATGCTCATCTCACATATACTCGTCATGTCTTCTGTRTTCATTCATGGACAGAAGCACAACAGGAACTTGTTCGTTTACAGGGATGTGCCRAGCTGACGCCCACTCTGAAGCGTGGTGTTGGTGGACACTGCTGGACCATGATGGAGCAGAGGCTGCTGTCAGGTAGTGAGCGTTCTGTCTAGCTGAGTTGTCGTTTTCTTTGGAGCGACACCAAGCATCTGAGTGCTTTTAAGACCGAATTTTCAGCTTAATGTTGAGGAAGAAAAACAAAACTCTGTCTTTTACATGGAAAGGGTTTCTGTTCGTTTGTTCAAAGCAACCTGACAGAGACAGTAACACAAAGACAGAAAGAGGACTATGCAACATTTAGTTACGTCCTGAAAGGTGAAAAGTAGGAGATAGTATTTGTGTGTGTGGCTACTTGGTTTTTGTTGCCTTTTTAGGACATTTACTTACCTTGAGGATCAGTACTAGTAATCTTGGGGACCAAAGACCAGTTTTGTTGTGCTTCCAGTGGAATTTGATGCCATTTCCCAAATTCATTTTAGTTTAAACAGCTAAACCTCGCACCGTGATTGAAACCAATGGAGCTGCTGCCAGAGTTTATCCACACACATGTGATGAGCAGATGTAGTCATGTTACTAGTAGGGTTAGTTATGTACTTACTGGTAATGGTTATGTTTAAGGGTCAGGGTTAGGCTACAGAAATGATTGGAAATGAATGGAAGTCAATATGTGGTCCTAATAAGGATGTAAATACAAACTTGTGTGTGTTAGTTTATGTATCTTGTCACCATTTATCTCATGAACCAGTGAACCAACATCAGTGAAACTCGTCTACAACTGATTACCTTTTGGAATCAACCCAGYTTAAGATGGCTGCTGCAGTTAATTGATCTTAGTCAACACAAAATAGCTACTGAGCTCAAATTTGGTGTGGTAGTAGCTGAGAGTATCCACAAGACATGTTCTGAGTATTAACAGATCCCACAGAGCAAATAGGTGTGGGCCACACTGCAAAAAATGTCACCTAACCAAGTTTTAAAATCTTATATCCAGCGAAAAAGTATTTTTTGATCTTGTTTTGAGACTGATTTACTAAACAAGAACTGATTGTGTAAGAATAATAATCTTGTTTTCAGAATGTGTAAGATTATTTGTCTTGTTAGTCTGAAAATTTGACTCAAATTAAGTCAAAATTTTCTGCCAGTGGAATAAGAAAATTTTACTTGGTAAGATTCTTGAAATACTTGATTTGACTCTTTTTCTTATTTTAAGAATCTTACCAAGTAAAATTTTCTTACTCCATTGGCAGAAATTTTTGACTTAATTTGAGTCAAATTTTCAGACTAACGACACAAATAATCTTACACATTCTGAAAATAAGATTATTATTCTTACACAATCAGTTCTTGTTTAGTAAATCAGTCTCAAAACAAGATCAAAAAGACTTTTTAGCTGGATATAAGATTTTAAAACTTGGTAAGATGGACAGTTTTTGCAGTGCAATTCTGGTGTCAAGCTGGCACTGCTGGCATKACAAGTGGTTTGTGGGCCAGGTCTGGCAATGATGGTACTGTTATGCCAAAACTGGGCCAGTTGTGGTCTGGTTTATGTGGTGCTGGCCCATTCAGAGACCACCTCTAACATACCACTTCTGAGCCACCAAAGGGCCATCATGCTTTGTGGTTTCTGAGATGAGTGTTAATGCATCGTGTGGGCCAGAACTGGGCCAGCAAATGTTGACAGGTGGGATCCTTCAAGATCTCACCTTATTAATCGTAACATTATTTTAAAGGCTGGATCAAATTAGCTACAACTGCTATTTCTCAACATAAATGATCCTACTTTAAAACTCTGTCAAGAAAGGCATTGGGTGATCGGCTTTWAATTTAAATTCTAAAGTTTTAAGAACTTTTCTACAACGTTTTTTTTCCGAAAATAAAGAGTTGAAAATCATTTTAACAGCATCTTTATTTAGAAACTGCAGAAGCAACATGAATTGTGTCCTGACGTGGGCCGTCTGCAGCTGTCTGGACGAGCCAAGTACAGCATTTTTTATGACGTGTCTTCCGAAACGTGGGAGTAAGCACTTTCCATTTGATCCTTTAAATGTGAGAGCTTATTTAAAGTAATGAGGTAAGTATTTACAGCAAAGCTACAGAGCCAGTGTTACTGTTCCTACATCATAGCAACAGTAGCCACAGCTTTTGTGGACTTCCTCCAAAGCTAAAAGTGAACATGAAGGCCTCTGCAGCTGCGAGTTAACATGTGGATTAGAAGGTTTGCTGATGAGCATTTACTTTCTTTTCTTTTCTTTTTTTACCACATTTAGAAACAACTGAACATATTAAAAATACTTTGTTATGAGGTTGAAGACGATTTGAAGATTTGGACAAAACTCTTTAACCCACAGCAGCAACATGCAGGTRAATTCAGGATAAGTTGTTTCAAGGATCACAGTCTTGATTAATGTTAATGGAAGAACGAAGTGATCAAGAAAGGCATTGGATTTAAGTTAAATTAAAAATGTTTGTTGCTTTTTCAAGGATAAACTGTTTTCTATGTTGWGATCTGACTTCTTTGTTAGTTTATGGCTTTTTGCGTTTTAAAATTAGACTGTTTTATGGTTTTTGTGATTGTCTTTTTAGTYCCCCTGTGTTCCGGTGGACCACCAGCCTTCTTCATTAGTCTGCAGCACCCACTCTGATCCAACACATAGACTGAGCACTATTCACTGCATTTGATCTTTGATCAGAACCTCATCATTAACTATTGGAGTCAACCTCAATTGTCTGTTAACAAAAYATCTCATGAGCCACTTGACAGATCTGAATGAAACAGGTGGATGGAGGTCTACAACTTATTAACTTATGGAGCCAACCTAATTCAAGATGGCTGCCACAGCTGACCAACATTAGTCAACCCAACGGCTGTAAATCAGTCGATTTTACAAATACCAGGGATGTGGATAAATTTTTAATCCTACACCAATATTAAATCTGACAGCGGATTCCAAAAGAACATTTTAAACCATACAAAAT